GATGCTTCAATTTTGCATTTTTGACGTTGCATGACGTCATTTATGACGTCACTAGGGTCATACGAGCTTTTCGTCAATAACTCCCGATCAAACTGAGCTAGCGAGACGGTTAAGCCACCGATGGACACAGGAAGACCTGCCGAATCGAATAATATGCAACATGACCTCCTTTGACCAATTTCGCGACCTAGAGGTCTTTGACCTGACCTTGACCCGAGGTCAACACCTCAAGTTGACCTCACCCGAACAAAAAGTATACCATTCGATGTGCGTAAGCAAGGCGAGCACGTTGATGCTAAAATCGCGCTCAGCGACTGTTTTTTAAGAAGTTATTAATCAAAAACCGAACCCGTGTCTTGGGTCACTTGACCTGACGGTCACCGGTTGACCTGAGACCTTAAACTCGGGTACTAGTTGCTGTGTCTCCTAACGGCACACACGCTCGTTTTTTCCGCGACGTTCTAACTCCATCAGGGGTGAAAAACGACGAGAGGGTCGTACCAACCCTCCCCCCGGCCGGCGCGTATGTAGAAAACCAGGTCCTGCGGTGTTAACTCTCGCCCTTATTGGTGTTTTGCTAGCCGCAAACGCACAGGGCGGGGACAGGTTATGGGTTGACCTTCCAGGTCAGGTCAGTGACTCAAAAGTCGGGAAAATCGGGACCTGTTAAAACTTTGGAGAGTTAGGTTGTTTCGAGTTTTTTTTCGGGGCGGTGATCACGAATTTCATATAAGCTTTGATCACCGATAATGTCTTGATGTTTTTAGGCCAGGTCGGGTCAGGTCAGGTCAGGTCAACCAGTAGGTGTCTTGCTAGCTGTCCATAGTAGGTGTCAATCATCACTGGCAGCTTCGTGACATGGTACGAAGGCGCCAAAATTACTTCTTTAATGTTCAAATGGGTGCTAAATTCGAAATCAGCTCCAAAAACTAGCCTAAAAATATATGAACCCAGAAAAAGTGAACTAAGGTCATCAAAGGTCAATGACATTGACCTGACCTTCACGTGACCTTGACACCCACCATAATGCATGGGACCACCATCATTTCACATGTTTGAACGTTCATAATCACAAAAAGACTGGAAACGAGCGGATAATGGCCGTTTTTACGAAGGGCTTCCTGGCGAATGTCCATCTAATTTGCACAAAACTGCACCAACTGTGCACCTAATCTGCACAAAATGTGCACTAGATGGCCGTCGTGAAATACTCCTAAGCTGAATGTTTAAATTTTGTTCTCTTTTTCTTTTAGACTGAACTAGATTAGATTGAACAAGATTTTCATTGGTCAAGATTGTTGACGGCCCTCCTGTAAAACGAGACTCGATGAATTCTTAAACTCCCCAGTTATTTTGTAACAACCCTAGGTTCGTTGCATACTAACTAGGGAGGTTGCAACGACCCTAGTTTCGTTACAACGTCCCGGAACGAGCAGTTATTTTGTAACGTCCCTAGGGTCGTTGCAAACAAACTGATCGTTCAGGGAGGTTACAACCACCCTAGGGTCGTTGCAAACTAACTGAAATCGCATACTCCCTGTAACATATATAAAAACGTTGTTCCTGATAAAAACACTCCTCACTCTAGATTGTTTGTCGTTTTTCATGGTTCCTAAAAAATAGTCACCTCTTTGCGGATTAGAATTATCTTTAGATGAATCCTTGAATTACTGTGAAGAAGGAGGAAAAAAATAGGATGGTAATTTTCTCAGCACTAAAAACCGGTCATTTTGTGGTATTTTCGGCAAAACTAGGCATTTCCAGTTAATTTGAGGTATAACAGGGTCATTTAGCACCTAACCAGTTATAACACCTATTTAAGGGACTTTAGCACTGCTTTCAGTCTAATTCGCAGTACTTTTAGTTTGAATGACACCTAATGGTAGTCATTTCGCACTATTTTTGGTAGATGTTTAGGCATCCCTACTAAATCTAGAATGATTTTAGTATATTATGGAGAAATAAACTACAATACTAGTCTGTACTAGCTACAGATTGTTTGTTGCCAGGTCGATTAGCGTCTGTTTCGGCGCATGCGTTTTGAGAGGACCGATAGGACGCAAGGCGCGCTTCTTGGACGGATTTGGCAAGGAATTTGGATAGATTGATTTACGTACGGCCTCAGCGTGTGCCGATCATCCTGCCTTTTCTTGTCCAAGAGTGAACTGAGCCTACCGTCCGCCCAAGCGTACTGGTCCGCCAGTGCTGCTGTCTTTATTCTGTCAGGTTATCTAACGGCGCTATGGGCATGTAGGTACAGCATTGCAGTAGCAAATGCTTAATCTAAATGTGCGGTGGCATTTTCCCATGCTTAGTAGGAAGCGCTCGACGTCCCTTCCGTACGTGTCGTGGAAGGGACGTGTCTGACTGTTATTGACGCACATCAACTAGATGGATCTTGATTGTAGCATTTCGCAGCAGCGTTTCGTCGTTCAGCGGCCTAACGCCTAGCCAGCTCTCATTTCGAGGGGGTGGTACTTTGCTGAGGAGCATGAGTGGTCACGCTGCATCGTGAGCCAGATGAAGCCGGAGGGCAGACCGTGTACCGTACATTTGCGTACATGATTTTGTCCCAGTTCCCACGAACCTAAGCGATGCGCATTTTTGTCCACAAATTTACCTAATATATACCCAGCATGCCTATTAGTCGTTAGGGGGCAGCACCGGGCGTGGTGTATTGCGTAGAGGGCAGGACCTATGCAACAAAACTTGCTCCAATTCCGTTTTCATCGTGGAAGTAATACGCTGAATGGAGGATCATACTTTGATGTCCAACTTGCGTACAACATAAAAAATAAATACCTCAAGGCTCAAGAATACTGTGAACATAGCAGTAGCTCGTGCTCGGCAGTGAAATCATGAATAGTGCTCATATACCGGATTTAGTGCAAAATGAGCTACCACACACCCATTTATTATGCCAGATCTGGCATCGCCTCTATACTAACTAAAATAGTGCAGAATGACCGGATATACCTGTGTTTGACAGGAATTGCCTGCGAAAAGACGATAGTGCAAACTGAACTTATGATAGTGCAAAATAACTGAAATTTAGGTACTGAAAAAATTATCCCCCAAAAAAATATAGTGAATGATATCTATTATACTTTCAGTCTGTCATTTTCTGCTCATCCTAGTTGGTAAAGCTCATTTAGTTTTGGGTCGTCTGTTTCAGACATACATATGCAAGGGGATTTGGGCTTGGGCTGGGTCGGATGAGTAATGTCTTTTCTGGAGTTCTCAAGGCCCAAGGGTGTAATCGTGATCCATTGCTTTTGCCATTTTTAAATTCCTTATTTTGTTCATGTATATCCATGCAAATATCTTTTGGTAAAAGTATACATTGAGTCCAAACTCCGAGTGACTGTTAAAAGATAAAGTTTTCATATTCTTACATTATTTGACATCCTGAATCCAAAAATGATACTTGTATGTCCTGGAAATAGAAGAATAAACATAATCAAACCTGACCTAACCTTACCTATTTACCTACAACCTACCAACCTACAACCTTCAAACCTACAACCTAACCTAACCTACAAACCTACCAACCTAAAACCTACAAACCTACAACCTAACCTAACCTGAAACCTAAATTTTTTGCTGTTACATATTTGTATCAACAGCGTCACAATTGTCCACTCGGACCTAATATATACTAATACCTATTTTTTGTGGTTAACATAGAGAAGATACAATAACATATTGTTTTAACTTTAGGCCTTGCATTGCGGTTTTTGCTGTATTCTCGCAGGCTAAGGCACATTTTAACATTTACAGGCTCTGATAAATGATGAATTAATTATAAATCATGCTGTGTTCTGATAATTTCTTTTGTTTTTATTAGTTTCCATTCATATTTCATAGCTATTTCACTTTTCAGAGTTGAGAACGAAATCCAATTCAATTCAGATGCCAGCCGCCAGGTTGAGGTGGCATAGTAAAAATGCATTGCTATTTAATTGCATGTCTTTAGGTACCTCATAAATATTGAACTCAGTTTGACTACTAAAAACAATTATACTTGAAATTGATGGTATTATGAAAATTATTTTATGAAACATTTTTACATTATGCTTATGATAGGCATCTTGAATTAACACATGGGAATGTGGCACAGGAGTCAGTATACCTAATCATGAATGTTTTAGATTTTACTTGACTTAACCTACCTAATATTTGGGACAATGATTTTTTGAAAGACAAGGTAAAACTTCATGGGGATCATGTTAAGTTAAGTTATTTACAACTGCTAACAAATATCAATATTGATCAAATATGAGTATCAGTAGAGCAGACATCACACAAAGGTTTCCAACCAGGGAGAGGTGCTATAGGTACCTACCCAGAGATGTTTCTTCCTAACCAAACCTAAACAAACCTCACCCAGCCTGAGCTAACCTAACCTACAACCTTCAAACCTATAAGCTTACAACCTACAACCTAGAAACCTACAGCGCCTCTCCTTGGTTGGAAAATCTATGAGTGATTTCTGCTCTACTAAGGTCCAAATATGGGTACCTACATACCTGATACATGTCCTTTGCATTTCTGTGTACACTCATAAATGAGTTGGTATGTTTTGTTTTCAAAATGAGGCAGGATAATTCTCAGATATAGCCAGTGCAATCAAAGACTATTGCTGTCTTAACAGTTTTTTTCAGGCTTACAACTACCAAGTCTGTCTTACCACTGCCTGACCATTTCAGAATCTTCACTGTCTCAATTCTAAACAAGCCTGAATGCCTCACTGCTTAGAAACTGTGCCATCTAAACCTATCTAGTCACTGCTCACCAGACCTCATTAGTTACTGCTACTCACTGCTCTCTAGTCACTGCTCAACAATTTTTTTTTGTCATACTGCTAAGCAAATAGGTATTCCTCATTACTGGATTACTGCTGTGCAGTCCTGTCTTGCTTCTAAAAAAACTTGGTCACTCCCAACATATTTCACCATAACCCCTGATTATAACAAGTTTTTTTTTACATTTCCCAGGCTTTGCTGTCTCAGAAGTGAAGCAATCAAGTGGCGATGGAATCCCATGGTGACCTGGAGCGCCGCGACTCCATCAGTAACCTGATAGAGCGACTGACTGCGGAGCTCGGACCGGACGGCTCCAGCGACGGCCAGTACTCGCCGTTTGGCTCTGCGAGCACCGGCGCGGCGGCGGCCTGGCAGCCGGCGGCGCCCTCACCGCACCCGCTGTACGGCGGCGACCGGCACCAGCTGCACTTTGGCGGCCCGCCGCCGTCGCCGCCCTACCAGGCCGACCCGGTGGTGGCCGGAGCGGCGGCACCGGACGGTGAGCTGGGCACGGCGCACCTCAGCGACAACCTGGCGGCGCACCTGGCCGGCTTCGACACGCCGCTGTTCGACCCGCTCCAGCCGCCGCCGCCGCCGCCGCCCGGCTCCTTTCTGAGCAGCTGGCTTGGCGGGTGGCTGGGGTACTCGGCCCCGGCGCCGCCAGTCGAGCTCACCCCTCCACCCGTGCCGCACCACCCGCCGGAGCGCTGCTCCCCTGCCAGAACCGCCGAGCCGCCGCCCGCACCGCACTCAGCCGACCCGGCGGCCGCCCCGGTAGTGGCATCGATCACCCCGCCGGCCCGACAGAGTCCATCGCCGGCTCACCCGATCCCGCCGCCGGCCCACCAGGGTGTCCCTTCCTCTCACCAGAATCCGTCGCCGACTCACCATAGTCCCTCGCCGACTCACAGGAGCTCACCTCTGGCGCATCAGAATCCATCAGCTCACCAGAGTCCTCCAGCTCATCAGAACCCTCCAACCACTCACCAGACGCCGCCGTCACCCCAAAACTCACCATCGGTCCAGCAGAATCCATCACCAGCCCCGGCTTCGGCAGCCCCTCCATCGCGGCCCAGCTACTCGGCAGTCCTCGCCAAGCCAGCGCCGGCGACGGGACCTGCGCCGAAACCGGTGGACTCTGCCGCTCGACAAACAACGAGTCGTGGTGACGCTGATACTCCCGGTGGGGGAGGCGGAGGGGGTGGAAGGAGAGGTGGGCGAGGTCGGAGGAGACGCGTCTCAGAGGCTGAGAGTAAGACTACCAAAGAGGAGACGACCCCACAGCCAGCGGTCAGCGATGGGGAGCCGACGCCGCCGGGTCAGGTCGAGCAGGAGCGGGATAATGAGCAGAAGAAGGCCAAGAGCAAGAAACTTACACGAACAGGTGACCACTGGGCAGAGGGCGTTCCTCTAGGTAGGCGAAGGGCTCAGATTGTCTGCCCCAACTGTGACCATGTTGGTTAGCTCATGGATCTGATTATTTCGTGGATATAATGGCTCTTATGGAAGTTATTGTTTGCCTTGTTCTATGCTACTGTGTGAAATTCTGTGCTATCTTGTCAAAGTTTGCCTCTGATTGTTATCTAACCCACATGAGATTACCATTTTAATGACTGTTTCGTCGCGTTGAACTCCTTTCGCCACTGATTTTCTGACCCTCTTCTTGAAAAAGTTTTGATCCTGACCCGCCGCTCCCACCTCCTCCAGTATCCGCCGGAGAGGTGCCCGGCTCTGCCTCTGGCCGGCGGTCCGAGACACTCAACAACAACCCAGACCGGGCGCAGCCGACCGTCCAGCGCCGGCCGCTCAACTACAACAACAACCTGGGCGCCTCATCCACGCTGGGGCCAGCACAGACCCACGTGCACACGCCGCCCGCTGCGGCGACTTCCTCCGACGGAGACACCGCCAAAAAGGTGGACGTCAACGTCGGAAAACAAAAGAACTGCGGCAAAACGTCCAACGAGACCAAGAAAGTCGGTAAGTTCTGTGTGAAGTTAGAAGACCCTGTGAAAACTTTATGGAACACCCCTTAACGTCTTTGTGAGCTACTGGATGAAATCAAGAGATTCTGCATTAAATGATACTCCATGATGTGAACTGTTGCCGCAAAAAATTAGGTAATATGAATCGAGTGACTTTTTCCGTCGTTTTGCTAAGCCAAATTTCTTCTCATACATTAGCTACCTACCATTTTATTCAAACTCTGAACTGTGTGATAGTTTCGCTGAGCATGTTTCTTTTTCCGCCAGACATCACGCTCAACAAGCCGGACAACAAGACACTATCCCAGTCGCGGGGGCCGCCTCCCGTTAACCTGCTGAGTGCCGGCGGCGGGGCCAAGTCAGAGCGCGTGGCCAAGGAGCTGGCGTTCCGTGGCCGCGGGTCGGGCCGGTCGGGGGGCCGCGGCCGGCGCGCCGCCGACGACTCGGGCGCCGGCGGCCGCGGCGGGCAGCTACTGCGCAAGGTGCGCGCGCAGCTGGCGCCGGGCGCGGCGCTGCTGGCCGCGCTGGTCTCCTGGCTGCTGCACCTGGTACTGGACGTGGCCGCCATGTCTGCCGACCTGCTGTGGACGGCCGTGCGCAGCGGCGCCCTCTCTGGTCGGCAGTGGGCGGCGCACTGGGCGGCGGCCGGCCGCGCGGCGCTGTCGGCGCGCCTGGCCGCCGTCCGAGCCTGGCTGGCCCGGCCCGGGAAGGGCGCCGCCTCCTCCGGGCCCCAGCAGGGCCTCCAGGCGAATATCGCGCTGCCGGCCACCGGGGACGAGGCAATGACCAGACTGCTCGCCTGCAAGGACTCCGACCCGTACAGGTACGGATAGCAGACATGATGGGCGATGGCCCGTGGCTGATGAACCGCCGCCGATTATTGCTATTGATCTAAATTTTTACCTCAATTCCCTATATTTATAAGTTTGATTAGTAATATTCAATTCCCACTACTGCCTACCTTGCTCTTTATCTTTACGCTCTCGCCCCTTTTGCACAGTACCAACCAATTTACCTCGTCACCCTGCTTCTGTTCAAATTAACGTCATCTAGCTTGGCTGACGTTTCTCATCATTCTGATGAGAAACAGAGTTTTTACCCCTCCACCGTCATCGCCTCAGCATCCTGGGTGTAACACACGACTGTTCGGACGCCGACATCAAGAAGTACTATCGGCGTCAGGCGCTGCTCGTGCACCCGGACAAGAGCCGCTCGCCGGGCGCCGACGAGGCCTTCAAGATCCTGCAGCGTGCCTTCCAGCTGGTCGGAGAGCCGGTAGGTGGCAGCGAGGGGCGGAGGACGGGGTGTGGACCAATTCTTACGTTTTATGTCTCTTGGGATGAATTTTTTTTTTTTTTGCTCCGATTTATATTTGTCTTGTATAAGGACGGGCTATTTTTTCATCATATTATATTTTTGTGTATTTGTGCGAATTTACAACACAAAACTTTTGTTTTATAACTGTTCTTTGAGGAAGTCGTTTTTCACTATAACAATCAGCTCACACCACCCACTCTTTTCTCCTTTTTCCCGGTAAACAGGAGAAGCGGGCAGAGTTTGATTCTGAGGCGCGAGAAAAGCACGAGGTGAACGAGGCCTTCCGACAGTATATGGACGAGATGATGACACGCCTGCGAGAGAAGATGGAGGAGACGCAGAACACACTCAGGTGAGGATATTGGAGGCTGGGAAACACGTGTGTGAAAATAACTAAGTCATTGATGGGCCTAGCACAGTCAGATGAGGATAGAGGGAGGCTTGGAGACATGTTATTTACTCCGATGAGGCTACGAAAATGCAGTGACACAGATGCTCCGGTTAGAATCATTGGGAAGGCAAAAGACTAGCGACTGGTTACGGGTAACCTCATAACCTGGTACAGTTACGATAAAGTATTTGCGAGCAGTCGGTCCCTTATGCTCCCCGCAGTTGTAACAACTATAACCGCCGTATAGTAACCGTTCCCTTACCCTCATCACAGGTGTAACAACTACCCGCCGTAGTAACCATTGCCTTACTCTACTCTCCTTACAGGTGTAACAACTACCCGACTCTCCCTACAGGTGTAACAACTACCCGGCCGTAGTAACCAATGCATTACTTTACACTCCTTGCAGGTGTAACAACTGTAACCGCCGTAGTAACCATTGCCTTTCTCTACTCTTCTCGCAGGTGTAACAACTGTACCCGCCGTAGTTACCACTGCCTTACTCTACTCTTCTCGCAGGTGTAACAACTGTAACCGCCGCCACCGTCGGACCAGAGTGGACCGGCCCGTGTACGCGGCTCGTAGCTGTGCCTCGTGTCAGATCCGGCACGCAGCGAGGGAGGTGAGAGGAGCGACTGAGGCGGGAGAGAGGGGTGAGAGGGACCGGACGGACGGGGTGGGAGGGCCGGTGGGGGTTGGCAGGAGAGACTAGAGAGGGAGACTCAGGGATGGGAGGGGAGAATTGACGGGAGAGATACGCTGTGCCTGTCTTACTCTGGGCTGTCTTGGTAGCCCTTATCGTTTGAGTGCGGTAATGCATTTGTTGATTGTTCATATGTTTGCATGTCTTATCCTGCTTATCGCCTATGTACCGCTAATGCACTACCTTGATCGGTGGAGTGTTGATTGTTGATTGGTCTGCTGTGATTCCACCACGAATCTGTCCTCACTGTCCTCTTTGTCCCCGATTTCAGGGCGACATTTGGGCGGAGAGCCGGTGGCTGGGCCTGCTCTGGCGCTACTACGCCTGTATGGACGGCGGGGTGTTCGACATCAGCGAGTGGGCCGCCTGCCAGTCGCAGTCGCTCAAACACCTGCAGGCCAACCACCATACGGTTCAGTACCGCATAATATCGGGCGCCAAACGGCACCGGCCGCCCGCCGACGAGCCATCGTGAGTACACAATTACCCCCTACGGGAAGGATGGGGTCTATATGGCTCCGGCCGCCCGCCGACGAGCCATCGTGAGTGTCTGCTCCCTGTCCCTGGCACCGGCCCGCCGACGAACCCTCGTGAGTTTCCCTTTAACATCGGCGGCCGCTGACGAGGCGCCGTGGGTGTCTGGCCACCCTCGTCGAAATATCGCCGGTCGCCCGCCAGTACGAGCCCTTGGTGTCTTTTCTCCCTGGCCCTCCCCTGTCCCAACGGCACGGCGTGATTAATCACCCCAGTTTTGTATGCATATACGGGATGTCTTGGAATTAATTGCCCCTTCAGTCCTCTGCCATAGCATGAAAACAATCACAGATCCACTCACGGTTTATTTCTCGATGAATTCATCACGCCTTCCCACACAGGCCCTCTCGCGCTCGGGGTCTCACGGATTACGCTGCCCAGCGTTCCTGCCGAGTGCTGCACCAGGCCAAGCACACATTTTCAGTGAGGGGTTTCCTCTGGTTAGGAGAAATTAGGCGCCCAGTCTTAACCCGCCCCTCTCGTTCCAGTAGTTTCTCGCTGTGGTTCACCCCTCCCGTTCTGGTGGTTCCCCGCTCTAACCCGCGCCGTTCCGTTGCAGAGACCGAGACCTGGAGGAGCTGCTCAATAACCTGTGCAGCGGTGACTTACGCTTGTCTTTGTTTCTACGGCAGTGCTCTAACCCGCGCCGTTCTGTTGCAGAGACCGAGATCTGGAGGAGCTGCTCAATAACCTGTGCAGCGGCTCCATGTCTGGTGAGCCGGGACAGCATAGTCGGCGGCGCGGCGCCCGGCGGAGACCGCAGTAGCGCGACTCTCCGCTGCCCGTCCGCCCCCTCGGACCGCGGCGCAGCGGACTGGACGGTACGGTGTCCTTTGGTCGGCCGCTGGGTGGATTGGGGGGGGGGGGGGGGCGGAGTGTAGTAGTGTCGCGTCAGGTGGTCGGTGTGTGTGCCTTGTCGAGGCAGCGTGTTAGTGTGGCATAGGGATGTGGGAAGGTTCGTCTTGGGACGTCTCCGGGTGGAAGCAGGAGATGATATCGAGGATGGGGCCTCATGGTGGTTTGCCGAGACCCTGAAATGGATCCCGAACCCTCAGTGCTGATCGGCTTGGCATCTACAAGCAAAGCCCCAGGTTTGGCAAGTCTTGAATATGAAGTTGTTTTTCTCTAGCGCAAGTGCCAGACAGTATCTCACAATATGCATACTAGAAGCGGTGACCGTTATGCATGTGTCTAACTGCAAACTGCCAATGGAGCATGATCTGAATCGCTGCGACGCAGTAGCCTGCCTCGGCCCCCATGGGGCCTCAAGGAGGGGGAGTCCCGGGCTCCCGAATCGGCTTCGACAAGCCGCGCTATCGCTGCGGCGCTCGGCGGCGACTTCCTGGCGCCCGGTATCTCTCGCCTTCCTGACTAAACGACTGATGTCAGACACTCACTTATCAATGGCGAGCTGCGCAGAACTGGGGGCTTTTTATGACACAGGCGCTTAGCTAAAAAAGGCTTATCTACCGGTCGTAGTGACTTGAGCCCTGAGGCATTCGTTGAAAACTGCTCCTCAGTATTTTGAGGTATTGAAGATGGAAATGGAGAAGAGGATGCTTCATGAGCTGTGCCTTCTCGTTGTATGAAGAGCGAACAGTTAAACGTGTTGCTGTTTGCTATCGCTATTTAACCAAACTATCAGATTAATGCGCTATTTGAAGATATAAGTGCTCGTGTAGGATTTCGAGCTTCGTTCAGAAGCTGCGATTGTTGGAGGCTTACGAAGTGGAGTTCGTGATCTTGACCAAGCAGTGGGCGTACTCGTTATACATGATATCGTCTCTATTGACCTGTTGCGTGTTTAAGCCGCCTATGGGGACTGATGTGATAACAATAACATACGTGGCTGCTGGTGTCCGCGTTATGGGGATACGCCTGCTGTGTTCAGTGGCGCCGCTGCCTAAGCCCGTGTTTTACCCGCTGGCGACTGTGTCTGCCCGATGGGAAGGGCAGGGCGCGGCTCAAAGGGGAGGGGGAGAGCTGTCTGTCGGTCAGGGCGGTCAGTTCAGCCGGGGACGACGGCCCACCGATCTGAGCCCTGTGGTTGTTTGGGCTGACTCGTCGGTAGTGATTTGACCTTCGGGCAGGGCGCGGGACAGACTACGTTATCTGCTGTGCAGGTTCACAAATATAGGGTATTCTGTGCCTGATATTGTCTATCGTTTCGGATTGCAGCCGCTTTTTGCAGTCGTACTTTACATAGCTGTCGTGTAATGCAATGCCCTGGGCGTCCTTTTATTGGGGTCTATTGTGTTGTTTCATTTTGCTACTTATAACGCGTGACGCGATGACAGCTGCTTCCAAAACTTCCAATAGACTGGTATGCTAATGTGTTTGTGTACTTTGAACAGGTCGCAAGGGTGCTGTCAGCTGGGACGAGGTGTCAATTTGTGGCCAAATAAGTGGTGGCGTAGCGGCACCACGATGCAACAAATTTCATTAGAAACTTGCATCGAAAATGCTTCAATATCGTCCTATATCGATTGTTCATGGGTCGAAGTGTCCAACTATTAGTATGTTGTCTACTGTAGGAGGGGCATTGCTCGACCGAACTTGACTTACCAACCTACGGCGACATTCCGACCTCCTTCTATCGTGGCTTGTCGACTTGACCCACTGTGGCTCCTCCTTCTGCCGTGCCGTTGACCTACCGTGACCTCTGGATCTGTTATAACCGTCGAACCGCCACACAGGTCAGCTCGGCATACCCCCTGTACCACATATCCGAGTCTGGGCTGGTCATTCTATCGACAGTAGTCACTCAGCACAATCGCCTGAGCCGTTTTATCAAATCTGTGTTGACTCAACAGAGGCTTAGCCGATAAAGGCATTTGTTGGTCATTGGGCGGCTCCGGACTACAGAAACGACTGTCCGCTACACTGTATTTCGGTAGGCGACAGTGTATGTACTGTTTGGGTTACTGTATTACAAGCGGCGACAATCTACCGTATAAAGGAGACAGTCGATTGCGTAATCGCTAGTGGCAATCTTTTGCATAATGCTAGCGAAAGTTTTTTTTTTTTTGCATTATTGCGAGCGTCGTTGGCAAACAATTGTTCATGCTGGATTATGCTGAGTGCCACGATAGGTTATCAGCCGGCCCCCGCAGGGGGCTGACCGTGGTCAGAGCCGTTGCTTGGCCGGGACCATTGGGCTCTGGCCTCGCGGCGGCTGTGACTTCGGCCAGTAAGGGGAGTAGCGCCCCCTCGGCCCCAGCTTGACTTGCGTTCGACCTCGGCTCTGATTTGATTGTCGGATGGATTTTCTGCAAGATTGGCCCCGCAGGGGGCTGGCGGTGGCCTGGGTTCCTTGGGCCCGCGTCCTGCAGCGGCCCTGACCTCCGCCAGCAAGGGGAGTAGCGCCCCCTCGGCCCCAGCTTGACTCATGCTCGATTACAACCGGACTCGACCCTGGATTGATAGACGACAAGTCAGACCTTTCTTGGTTTCTCTTTTCCCTTTGTTTCTGATGAGTGTCTTTTTTGCGCCCGGTTCCGCTCCTTCCGGGTGTTTCTTTTCACTGCCAGCTTATACTGCCTTGCCGTCTTCTCACGTGGTTTGCACTAAGTTTTTGCACTTGTCTGTTGCCCAGCTTTCTTGCGAGCATTTTCATTGGTTGCCTTTTCTGCATTCTCACGCACCGCACGGGCACACTCGGGTGAAGTGGAATAGCGCCCCCCCCCCCTCAGCCCTAGATACACATATGTGTGATCTTGACTTTGCCCACATTTGCTGGATTTGATGTTTGCACAATGCCATTGCCAGTCGGCCGCGTTGCCGTCTTCTCACGCGAATTTCTCCTGGCTGGTTTGCACTCATTTGGTTGCCTACCTCATCGGTTTCGCACGCTTCCCAGTTTTTTTTAACACTTGCTCATCTTCTCTGTGCACGATTCCATTGCATAATGCGATTCCAGTCTCTAATCGTGCCATCTTTTCACGTGAATTGCTCTTGGTCGTCTTGTACCCGTTTGTTGCCCATATTTCTTTTGCGGTCACTGGCATTGGCTGCGTTTTCAGTCTTCTTGCGCTGTACCGGTCTTGCAGGCTGCTTGCCTCACCGGTTCCGCACGCTTCCCCAGTTTTTTTTTACACTTGCTTATCTTCCTTGTGCACGATTCCATTGCCAGTTTGCTGCATTGCACTCTTTTCACGTGAATTGCTCTTGGTTGTTTTGTACCTGTCTGTTGCCTTTTTTGCGGATACTCGCGTTGATTGCCATATGTGTGATCTTGACTTTGCCCACATTTGCTGGATTTGATGTTTGCCCAATGCCACTGCCAGTCGGCCGCGTTGCCGTCTTCTCACCTGGCTGGTTTGCTCTCATTTGGTTGCCTACCTCATCGGTTTCGCACGCTTCCCAGTTTTTTTTTAACACTTGCTCATCTTCTCTGTGCACGATTCCATTGCATAATGCGATTCCAGTCTCTAATCGTGCCATCTTCTCACGTGAATTGCTCTTGGTCGTCTTGTACCCGTTTGTTGCCCATATTTCTTTTGCGGTCACTGGCATTGGCTGCGTTTTCAGTCTTCTTGCGCTGTACCGGTCTTGCAGGCTGCTTGCCTCACCGGTTCCGCACGCTTCCCCAGTTTTTTTTTTACACTTGCTTATCTTCCTTGTGCACGATTCCATTGCCAGTTTGCTGCATTGCACTCTTTTCACGTGAATTGCTCTTGGTTGTTTTGTACCTGTCTGTTGCCTTTTTTGCGGATACTCGCGTTGATTGCGTTTTCAGTTTTCCTACGCTGTACCGGTCTTGCAGGCTGCTTGCCTCATCGGTTTCGAACGCTCCCCCATTTTTTTTATTTTTTTTTATTTTTTGCACTCGCTCATCTTCTTTGTTCTCTGGTTCCCCTGGTTTTATCGGTCTAGCCGTACCTTCGGCCCAAAGACCGGGGAGAGGATGTCTGGGCGTTGAGGGGGCTGCCCTGCGGGTTAGTCGGGGCAGCCTTCCAACACATGCCTTTGGCGCCAATCCCCGGATCTGCGGGATGCCCCATGTTGGCCTCGCATGAGGGAAATCGGCCGGTCAGGCGTCGCCCTGTGCGGCACTGGCTAATCGGGGTCAAGGGGGCTGGGCGACGGGTATGCGGGGGGTTGCCGCCGGGTGCAGGGGCCGCCTGATTCCTTCAGCGCGGGGCTTAGCGCCACCGTATCCATGTCCGCGCGCGGGATCAGGTCCGGTCCCGTGCCCCATGGCTCTGCGGCGGCCGCGGCACACGCGGCCCCGTACCCGGCGGCTTCGTCTTGCTGCTTTTGGCGTCCCGGCCCCCGTATAGTCCTGCAGTACTCCTGGCGGACCACCACCCTACGGGGGAGTGTGGCCGTCCCCCAGTTGGGCTCCGAGGTGGGTGGGAGGCTGCGGGACCGAAACAATTACACTTTCCATGGATTCTCACTTGGCACCCCCACGGACCACAGCCTCGGCTGAACCCCTTGCACCTAGTGCAGTCGGTGGAGCACGACCAAAAGTTCTTATATTCACATCCGACGAACGAAAACTCGCGTCGCTGTCTCCCTTTCAGAGACGAGAGGGCTGTGACAGATTTGGTAAGATTGCGAGGTGTGAAAAACTTAGAGACGGAGGCATCGAAGTAGAGTTTGTTGACGATAGAGAGGCGGAAAGGGCCCTGAAAGCTACTCACTTCACATACACAGTTAAGGATCAGCAGAGCAGGAAGGAAGTAAACCTTTCGGTCAGCGTTTCGCCGCATCGCACGAAAAATTCCAGCCGAGGGGTCATTTTTTGCGACGATCTGGAGGGCATGCAAAACGACGAGATCGCCGAAGGCCTGTCACAGTTTGGGGTCTCCGCCGCCCGCCGCATCTACACCAAGAGAAGTGGCGCTCTCGCACCCACGCACAGTATCATTCTGACTTTCAACTCGCTGGAACTGCCGAGGGAGGTGATGATAGGATATCTGTCCGTGAAAGTTCGACCATATGTCCCGAGTCCCATGCGTTGTTTTCAGTGTCTTCGATTCGGTCACACTCGAGACAGCTGCCGGAACAGACCGGCATGCGGGAGATGTGCAGAGGTGAATAAAACTCAAAAGCTGTCACCTACGCGATGTCTAGCTGTCACCAATTTTTTACAAGTAATCTTGAAACAGAAAGTACTTTTTTGACGTTTTCTCATCGCCTTTTTAGGCCTAAAAATTTAAAATGAGGCTAGAATGTTAGAAAGAAACTGACCTTTCAAATTTCGGCCTCTGGGCATTACAACGCATCACCACATTTCAGTGACACAACAACAAAAATAAATCACTACCATCCAACTTACCTATAGGTCTGATCGACGTCCAAGCTCGTCCTGGCTTCCTGATCCAGTTCAATCAGAACTCACGAAAGGATTGTCAGTAGTCACTTATTCACTTGCCTTTACTTCAGAAGTCAGAACCAATTATCAACGCTCCTACCAAGTTTCTGGGACCGATGGTCATGGACCTCACCCCAGTTGTGGCCCAGATGTGAAGTCCCCCGTCCCAGTCGCCCGGTCCTTCCCTACTCCGGCGGCGGCCAAGGCCGCGCCGGCCGCGCCGGTCCCCGCCGCCGTTCAACCGGCGACGAGCGGAGACGAGCTGTCGCGCTGTCGCCGTTTTTCCTCCGTTGTCTATGGCGCTTCACAACGCACCGGCCGTCGCACCGGCGGGATTTTTCAGCCCCAGCTGTCTACGAAGAGATGACGCTGTTAAATTTTTGTGCCGTGGTCCATAGTGGCCCTCTATGGGAAGACAGCTCTGATTTGAGCGGAAACGGCTTGTTATCTATTTTAAATGCATTAACTGAGATGCTCGAATCTGTCTCTTTATTCCTATGGCTGTCACCTACGCACGCAGGCGAGTAGCAGGGTTTTTTCACCTCTGGAGATGTGCGGCAACTGATCACAGCAGTGCCGATTGCTCGTCGTCTGAGTTGAGATGCGTCAATTGTGACGACTCTCAGACTCCACATTCCTCGTTTGATGGGCGATGCCCGGCCTTCCAGAGAGAAAAAGAAATAATGTCTCTGAAGGTCACCGAAAGGCTGTCATTTCGTCAGGCCCGAGACCGCTTTGCTGCCCTCCATCCCAAGCGGTCTTATGCTAGTGTGGCCAACGGTTCTAGACAGCGCTGCCCCACTGAAACTGATGCCAACAACAGCATCGGTCAGCTAATAGCGATTCTGAAGTCATTCGGCTTTTGTTTTGTCCCAGATGCCAACAGTCACAGCAACTCATCAGTTCAACAGGAGCCCTCTAAAGCGTCGTCGTGCACCGCCACACAGACGTCACCAAGCAGGAAGCAGGAGGAGGAGTGGACCCTCGCCCGGGGTCGTCGCCGGGGCCCGGTCTCGCCGCTGCGCTCCGCTGAGCGGGCCCCGGGCACGTCTGCTGAAGTGCACCGACCCCCGCCAAGGGAGACTGCAGTGATGGCTGCGCTGCGCCGCGGTCAGGAGGAACGGTTAGAGCAGGACGCCAGACGGGAACGCCGGATTGCCCAGGCTCTTGAGGAGCGTCGAGTGTCTTCGGCCCATAGAGGCTCTGA